TTAATCCCAATTATTATGTACACTTTTGAGCAATTAATAAAGTTAGGGTGACCGATACTTTTGTCCAGGTAGTGTATGTGCAATCCATCTGCTGAAGATCATTAATGCGTTTGTTGCATCGTTCCTGTGACTGTCCTTGCATGAAATGCTTTTATTTCCAATACCCACTCTTCTATGGAAATGTCCGTCTTGGCAACATAACATTGCGAGCAAATAAATCGAGGTCGTCCTTTTGAATGGGAATTTTTAAGAATGTTTTCGGGAAGACCTTTTGTATTGAAAACTGAACACGGTTTGACACCGATGCAAGGAACTTGCAGCAGTTTTCCTACAATATTAACTGCATGTTGTATACATGATTTCCACGACTAAAGAATGTTTTGGATTTATTACAGAAGAGACAGACGTTTACAATCCAACTACTCTTAATGGATTGTCTCTGCTTTATGTGTTTTTTATGTAATTTATTTTGGTCGTATAAATAGTGTGATGAACATACACCAAGTGTATGGAGAGTGTTTTCTCGTTTTGCTTTCTCGAAGGCTAGATTGTCGATTTCCCAGGTCCCAATAAACTGGGTGAGGGGCGTTGGTATTTTGTAAAATTTCGACATGGGTGTATTACTCCGCTTTTTTTGACGTCCAAAAGGACGCACGGTGTGTAATTGTTAGGTTCATCAGCTGCCACCGCGTTATCAACTTCTTCTTCCTTATTTTGACCATCATCAGCCAAAACTGTTGCATTGTCAACTTCCTCCTCCTCCTCCTCCTCCTTATCCCCAATTTTTCCCAATCCCAATTTCCCAATCCTATAGTAATACATTATGAACGTAACCTCGTTTGTATCCAGGCCGTAAATCAGGTCATACATTAAGTCAGAAAAGAAATAAAAGACAGCAATTTCCAATTTCAAAATCAAATTACCAATTGTCAGCCTTATTAGTGTTAAACCATTACTCATCGAAGAAATTCTTCTGACCGAAGGTGTCTTGCAACAGACACAAACAGAAATTTAAGTGAGGGGATATCCATAAAGGTAGGAAGAGAAGCGACGGTCAAGAAATTTTAGAACAAAGAGAATTTGCAACAGAAAATGATATTAGTATTAGATACATGTCGAAACATCAAACGTCACTGATAGAATTTATTAACCAATAAAATTGCATGATATTATCTATTATATCTTAGTTTCCGGTGTTTTGTAAGTAAACGCTTTATATTTGATTTATTTGCGTTAATTAGGCTGATTATTATTCGTGAACTTTATGTTTTCTGTAAGCGAGAAGTGAATTTAACGTAAGGAAATGTTTATATCCCATCTCAGATATATCCCAAAAAGCAACATGGGATGTAGAACTGTACATAAATTTTCTGAATTGGTGGCGACATATCTCCTGACCGACCAGTCCCTATATTAATCCCGTGGCATTTACGATGATTAGTTATTCATTACGAAACACGTTTGTTATACACGTAGTGACAACCTATAATAGGCTTCCGAATTAGTCCTATCGTAATAGAGGATTAACTCGAGGGCGAATAACTGTCTAAAATTAGTGTCTACCGATCGACACTAGGTTGAGTAGTTTAAAAGATCGCTATATTTAACTTGAATAGGAGAAGCCACAGCTCCGTTTGAAAGAAAGCCGAGTTAATGATCGTCATGTGAATTAAAAATGGCTGGTATAGTGACACAGCACTGGCGTACATAAGCTAATGATACGATTCTTTTACAGAGAGCCAACGGCACGCCATCACGAAGATCTCCTCAGTCGATACCGTGATAGACAAGTAAGCGTCATTTATTGTCACTGCTCAATTATTTGTAAACTATTCGATGTCATCTAGGAAGAGTCAAATAAAGCGACTATCTACGGAAAAGAAGGATATAGACTACAATGAAGAGTGAATAATAAAAAAATGTTCAATGATGTGATGGCTATTAGCTAATTTTTGTGCTTTTATCATTAACAATTGCATTTTTGTTACACTTTTGCATGGCCTGCTCAGAGCATGCTTTATCTTTGATGCCTTGCTGTCCGTGTTCAAATGCTTCAATCAAGCAGTAAATAATACCCAGAGACAGTCTTCATCTCCTTTTATCACCAACAACTTATTTGTCAGTGGCAAATGCGCCTTTTGTCTATTTAGCCAATACAAAGTAACGGTGATGTCACGAGTAAAATTCTCCAAGTGAAATCAAAACCGACGCTTTCAGGAAATTGTAACTGCATTTAGCTCACAGATCATCGAGTTACATACCTATTCGCATTACTTTTCAGCCATCCCACGTAATCTCTAGCAGCTGCCATTGCAAATATTCAATCTCCTTATCCGTCTCTATCAAAATTTCTTCCAACTCTTTCACTATCTGCCAATTCTCTTCTGCTTTCTTCTTATATTTCTCTCTCTCTTCAACAATGGCCGCATATGCTCTATGCGCTAGTCTCTCATGCTTTGGTGATTCCAAGTATTCAATTTTCGCTTCGACAATATCTGCACTTGTTGCTACATCACTCGCATCTAATTCATCCAGATGCGGTTCACATTCTTTGCCTTCCATTATCCGTAGCCTTTTATCCAACAAATGAAGACGTGTTTCAAGACATCGAAAAGATCGTATTTTAGCAAGCAATCGAGACGTTTCCTCCTGCGTATGTGTTAGCTCGTCTTGAAGAAAGTACAGCTTCTGTTCAAGAAGATCGTAAACATGAGCTTCTTGAAGTTCATCACGGAGTTGTTTTACTATAGGGGCCTTAGAATGAGCACGGTCGAGAACATTTATGGCGAGAATAGGATCATTTTCCTTTAGTTTCTGGAGGGTCATGAAAAAAAAGAGATTATGGTCAAAAAGACAACATGAAAAACGACTATGTACATGAAGCCAGGTTAAGTAATCAAACAGAAT